TAAAATCCAGTGATTTCCTTGGCAAAACAACGTAACTACAAGATTACGCGGCAAAACAACGTATCTGCGATGAAGATATGTTGTTTTGCCATGGAATGCTATTCAAAAATGGTCAGAGACGATGGAGTTTGGCAAGGCAAAATCAAATGGTTATTGGTGTTTTTATATCAGTAATCTTAAACAGCGATGTATGAACAGGCTAGGTAATGCATATAATTGTGATAAATTCCAAAAATATGCAACAATACCGAGCCTAACATGTTTGCGTGACAAAACAACGTATTTGTAATTATCGCTAATAACTTTGCAATAAACAAATGTTTGTAATTAAAATTTTACATATAATCACAATGTCAATAGATATATACAATCCTGCAAAATTTTAAAAGGCTATGACAATTTATTGCAAAGTTACAAACATGCAAACTTTAACTCTATTTTTCTCCAAAAGTGAAAATTTCAAGTTACGTTGTTTTGCCACGGAATGGCCGATAGTATGGGAGAAGTCTCACTCTCGGGTTTCCTTTGAAACGTAAATCCTACCTCAACTTTGGGGGCATCCCATATTTCGAGGTACAATAGCACAGTACTTAATTTTTTGTTACAATGCAAAATCTTGAGAGATATGGACCCTCTTTCCATTCTATATTCTTTGATAGAGCCTACCTTCCCATTGACACCCAACTACTATTACCAGTGGTGGATTCAAGGGGGGGAGGGCAGACATTTCCGGCCATCTAGAGGTGCCATAATCATAACTTTTCTTACATCAGCCCTAAACATGGTAACACCGAGGTGGTCTAGACACCCATCTGTAAAAGTCCCTCCCCAGGCCCCTGTATTTTAAATTTCTGGATCTGCCACTAATTACTTAATGGCCATTCAACTTTGTATGGAAAAACATACCTGGAAGAAATCATTTGTGACAGGATGATGTTGCCAAGAGTTTAAAAAATTTGAGTTTTTCAATTAGATATAATTGATTCAGGGAAAAGACAATTTAAATGTGCTAGGTACTTGGAAGATGTCCCAGTCGATGGGTAGGACCTATTTGAGGTCAAATGTAATATGTTCTGCTGTAGCCAACCAGGGGCGGATTCAGAGATGTCCGTCCGAAAGTGGGGCCGATCAAGACAACACTAATCTGGAGGGTCCGGGGTGGCATTCCCTCATGAAATTTTTGTTTTCTAGATGCCCGAAAATAACCTCTGAGGCAGTTTTGGCCAATTTGGATCAATTATTTATTTTTCTTTCATGCTTTTTCTTTTTTTTTTTAACTTTCCAAAGGTGGGGAAGGGGGAGCCGCAGCCGGAATTGCCTCTTGATTATATATACTGTATAACCTTTATTTTGTTGCTTGATTGTTTTGCTGCTGAATCTGGACCTCTTAGGAGACCAGTACTTATGTATTAAAAGAGTATTTCCAGAATAAAGAAAAATTTGAATTACATGATGTTCCCATACATGGCATGATGAGGTCATATTACATCCAAATATGGACATAAAATAAACTTTCTTATCTGTCAAACCATTTCTGGTCATATTGCTCAGATACACGATACTACATGCTTCATTATTCACAGCCGCACTACCTCACCTTAGTTCCGTTGTTTCTGCTTCTTTTGCGATCTTTCAGAAAGCGCATAGAGACGAATGTAATATCCGCTATAGAAGTGTACAACCATTGATCATACCTATGCTATATATAACATTTTATTGTTATTAATAGTTGTGTAATTTAGTCATTATTTTTTGTTTCTTTAATGTATTGTGAAATTCGGATATTGTATTTTTGACTTATTGATTTTGTATGTGGCCTACATATTGAATAGTAAATAATTGATTTTTATGTGTAAATTAAGTATTGAAATTGTTATTGTTTCCAAATCAAGTGGTAATAGATTTGCCTCAAAATTTATTGAGAAAAAATATATGAAAGCTTTCAGGCATAACGCTTTCTCAAGTCAGTGTGTTTATATATAGTATATATGTATTAAACATTTTTTATTATATTTCTTAATGTTTCATTGGTCTGCAGTCAATAACCTGCTTGCCGTCATTTTTGTAAACCTTCCTGCATGCTTCACTGCACACAGTTTCAATAAAATCTGCTGCTTTGTAGCTTCACAATAATACCTCTTCTGTCTGGCTGCATGTTTTGTTTAGGAACCATTCAATCAATATCGTTGCTTCCTGTCGAAAGAATAACTTGTTTATTAAAGCAGAAATGGTGTATTTATGTTTTTTGTTTGTTATTTGATACAAATTCCGTTTTAGCAAACCCTGAGGGTTCCCTGGTGCTTTTGTCTAAAAACGAGGCTTGCTTTTGGAGATTTGCCGCTGACTGAATAATATCGACTGAAAAATGATGAAAACAAAAGAAAGTTAATTAATTGATAGTAATCAGAGAGGATATGGAAACCGGAAGAATAGAATGTATTTTGTAATTGTGGTGTCAGCTATTCAGTAATACAATCCTTTCAGAACTACAAATAAAGATAAAGCCAAATATAGAAACGTAAATGTAATGGATCAATTTTTTATAGTAAAAAAAAAAAAAAAAAAGAAAATTGAAATAAATATGAACACTTTAACAATATATGGGAAACTTAAATAGTCATTTTCAATTGTTTTTTTCTATCGGCTGTGGTGGTCTAGAACTTTTTCGCCCAGTGGCAAAAGTTGCAGTCAAGGTCTTATGTTCGGAAAGTGTTGGGGGGGGGAGAGAGGAGGGGGGAGAAACCTGTGGTTGAGAGAGGATGGTTTTTGGGGTGTACTCATATCTACTGTGGGGGTCTAGGGTTATACCTTTGAAAGCCATCTTAATCTCTTATGTGATGTACAGCATAGTATCAGACCATTTATTGCCACAATATCGTAGGTGCCCGTTTTCAGGTCCACACAAGGCGGACCCCAGAACCTCACTGCTGCTGTTGTTGTTACCAGAACTTCAAAAGCATCCAGCGTAGCCAGTTTTGAACCGACATGCAGGAAATTTTGTACACATAAACTGGAGGTGTTTTCCAACAAACATTCAAAAGGCCCTTTTGAACCCCAGGGTGCCCCATATTGTCATACACCTACAAAACAAAACAGTGGTTTCAGTAAGGAGTGTAAATTACTGCCATCACCACTAATAGCACGTCACATCACATGGATGGCGCTCTCGGTTGACGATGTGTTCTATGGAACTGAAGGTTGTGAGTTTGAATCGCGTCTTGGTACCGTATTTATGTTTTTTTTCAATTTTAAGACATTTTATTATTTTGTTTATTTATTTTGTCTTTTTTCTGTTCAGTGATAGTAAGTAATGGCAATTATGATCCCTTGCCGAAAACCCAATAATAACTTGCGCCACTATGCACTGTGTAGCATGGAGGATATTTCCTCCATGATTTAAGCATGTTTTCATAGTGTCAACAAATAAGCCTCGTCTGAAAGGTGCATACCTGAAGCGTTAATGTTGAATTTAGGTACAGTTTAACCCGCCGACTGGTAAGCGGTCACTCTCGTTATACTCCTGGGATGGTAAATCAAATAATGGAAAAAAAGGGGAAAATAAAGATGAAATGGTTTGCCATAAGAACTCATACAAAATGCACATTGTGAGATTCACACTTTGACACACTGTTGACAACCTGAACCTCAACTATTCGCCAATGATATCATTAGCTCTACTACAGACCCTATATATGTATATAAGGCCTATGGTACACAAACCACTGTGATTATAAAACAACTAAATTTCGAAAGCATTTATGGCAGGAAGCTATTAATTAAGCTATGATGAGTTTGAAGGTTGGGTACAAAGGCCTTAAGTTGTTAACTGTGTTATTGACACTTGACAGGTTCATATTAATTATCTATTGCTTAATATCCGTGAATGCAAATCTATAGCTATAGGTAATCTATAGGTAATAGGATAACTTAGCCCCTGTCCAGACAATCAAATCAAATAAACCTGTCATAATGACATGCCTAAATATGGCCATGATGACATCCCATCATAACCATATATAGGTACATCATGACTATATATGGGATATTCAGGTTCCTGTGTAATGATTTGGTCATTTCTACCATGGGATGCATAGTTTGAATGCACTTATGTTTAAAATTATTTTTCCTATATTGATTATTTTCCCTGCTCCCTTTCTACGCCCTCCCTCATTCATAGTTTTCAATAATTTACATATGTTCTACTAAGAAAAAATATACATTTCAGAAGAAAAGTGTGGGTATAAACAAGGTATAAGGAAAGTATATAAAAGGGTATTATTTAAGCATCTGTTGATAAGAATCGGTTTTCTTTTATATTTTCTTTTGAAACTTTAAAGATATACAAAGTAACAATTCTAATAATAAATAAATATTAGTTTTAATGTTTTGAAAGAACTTTTACTTCAAAACCCCATGAATTAATATATCATATCAACAGTCAATGTCAACAGTCCATACAAAAATATTACAAAGAGCTATTCTGAATGTGTCAATGGCCTATCTACCAGAGTGGGAGAAATTTCTTGGGGAGCGTATCTTCTTTAAAAAAAAAAGCTTGTGGCCCATTAACAATTCTAATAATAAATAAATATTAGTTTTAATGTTTTGAAAGAACTTTTACTTCAAAACCCCATGAATTAATATATCATATCAACAGTCAATGTCAACAGTCCATACAAAAATATTACAAAGAGCTATTCTGAATGTGTCAATGGCCTATCTACCAGAGTGGGAGAAATTTCTTGGGGAGCGTATCTTCTTTAAAAAAAAAAGCTTGTGGCCCATTGATCCCACATTGAAAAATCATCTCATATCACCTTATTTTGGCAGCTCAACACCCTATCAATATTTGCCCCCCCCCCCCCCCCCCTCCTTTTCAGTCCTTAGATGCGGCACTGTGTCTATTCATTATTGAGGATACTTTATTCTCCTAATTTTACCAAAGCTTACTCAAACATACAGAGTAAACAATTAAAATATTGGTTTTTTTTCTTTCCCAGGAAAAATGAAAATGTGTTTCTAAACGGGTTGATATTTTGAAAAACATTTTACAAAGATGTCAACAAAACGAAACATCACCAGACAAGCCTGGAAATGAACCCACAGGGATAAAGAAAACAAGTTCGCCCAAGAAAGAGCTGGAGGAGAACTGTGATAGACGAGGCCTGGAGGCAGGGTATTTTCTGGACGAGATAGAAAGGATAGCGCAAAACAGAGTGTCATGTCATGCTGTTTCCAAATGCCTATCTCCATGAGGAGTTGAAGGGATTATAAGTCAACAAAACAATTACAAGATCATCTTTTAGAAGAAAACAAAATGATGGAGCATCAAAGCATGGTAAGTGGTTTGTTTGATTTGATTTTTAGATTAAGAAAGATAGAAAATAATGGGGATTTATTCAACAAATAATTCTGTTGACATGTCTATAGAATCGACTGAAGCCTCCTTGAACAAGTCAATTGATGGAGTGTCCCACGCTGGTGCGTGATGGCATGAGAGAGCCTACTAAAGAACAAAGGTTCAATTCTTCTAAAATTTTATAAACATCCATCCATCTTAGGAATCATTGGGCTTACTCAATCATGATCGCTCTTCTATTCATTCTTCCTTTTGTTCATTAATTCTTTCATCATTATTGTTCATTTGCTGTTTATTCAATATTTCATTCATTCATCCTAACTTGATCTGACTGTAAACTATGCATTAGGCCTATATAGGCCTACCAAAATCATTGGTTTTAGTGCTACTATCTGTAATGAAATTAAGTTTGATACCTACACTGACAACATATATATAGAATATACCCCCTTACTACTACTACAGTAGTATGTCCTAAAGCCAGGCTCAGGAGGAAAATTTGTTTTGATATAAATTATGTTGTAGGCCTACAGCTGATTTTTTAAAGACATAAAAACCATATTTGACAAATTTAATGAGATTCGGATTTTTGAATATTTAAGAACTTGGCGAAAAAATGTGGATGCCCCTTTTCCCCCAGTTTTTAAATATTCAAAAATTTGTATCACATTAACCGCTTCCGAGTTTTGTATCAAACATGCTTTTTGTGTCTTAGAAAATTAAGTTGTTCAACATACCAAAAAATTGTTATCCTCCGGAGCCGGGAAGAAGATTCCAAAAAGTAGGTACTTACTAGAGAAAGCATTATGGCCATAAGAGTGGAATTTCAATTAAGGAAAAACAAGGTGTTTATTGAAGAATATATTTTATGAGAAGATGATTGGTGTGAGACAAAATAGTGATGTACAGAAGTGCGAGTTTGTTGATGGCTTTATAGGTTTTAAGAAGCAATTTGGACTTAATCCAGAATTAAATGGTTTTGCTGTACTGTTACACATGATGATTCTGAAGTTTTGAGAATTTTGATGAGAAAATAGTTATGTATCTGTAAATATTATTAGTATCAGTAGTATACTAGGAGTCTTAGAATGGGGAAGGGGGTGACTGAGGGGGTGCAAAGGTGAAATATGGGTCCGATGATTAAGTGAGGGGAGCGTTAACTTGCAAAATAAGGTGACATGAATTGATTTTTATGTAGGCCTCAATGATTTTTTAAACTTCAAACATTTTCAATGTGGGGTTTTTAAGGAGATACACTCCCCAATTATGTCATAGAACAACCAGATAGGGGCATGATGATATCTTATACCGATTAATGGACAAATCACAGTATATGTCACATATATTTAAAGGTGAAATTGGACATACTGGTGAAATTGGACATATAATATATTATATACAGTATTATAATATATAGCATATTCGTACCGTTGAATGTTGTTTTTCCTTCTCTGCTCCTAAACTGTGGAACTTTCTTCCCCCTTAATTACATATCATCTCTGATCAGGAATTATTCAAATCCAGTCTTAAACCCTTCCTCTTAAAATAGTTAAACTTCTTTTCTAACATCTTCCAGCGCCACTTTGTCTCTACCCAAACATCCAGCATCTCTACCCAAACATAATAAGTATTTCCCTGTTTGGAATTTCTGCAGATATTATTCTCCAGAAGATGATTGAAGCAACTCAGTCGAAATGTCGAGACTTTCTCAACTACAACAGTTCTTTTCAGAACTACCTACGTGGTGTACCGCAAGCCTTAACAAGCTAGTTTTTGTTTGCTTTAATAGGTGCTTTAAAAATGTGTATTATTATTATTATTATTATATAATTTCATAGTGTGAACACAGCTTTATTGTGATTTCCTATTCTTTAACACTGGTTCAGATGACACTTGTTGATAGTGCCTTTGACGTTGCACCTTTGCCCTGGAGTGTGTTTGTTCCCTGGACAAGTGATATTATTATTGTTGAAGTGTTGAACTTTGTGCTGTCCATAAACCTTAGCTTCCTGTGTCTGAGTCCATGTTAAATTGTCAATGTTGACATAATGATGCTAATGAACTGTAATTGTGTCAACTTTTAAAGCCCTGTCGAGATTATCAAATTTTCTTCAGCATAAGACTGTTGTATGCCCATATATGGTCATGATGTGCCTGTATATGGTCATAATGTGATGTTATCATGACCATATTTAGGCACGTTACATATTTTTGTCAAAAATTTAGTCTTGACAACATTGCAATTTGTCGTCAGCTGATCACTGTGATCTGTTTAGCGAACTATTTTGTTGACCAATAGATTATAATAATAGACCTAGTTGTTCTTTATGAATAAATAAATGCCTTAAAATAATTTGTCATTGTTTTTTTTTCGCCGTGGCTAGAGATACGGTACCGTATCGGAACTTCCAATAGCTAAAGGTACGGTAAATGATATTACGTCATGATTAGCCAATAGAAACGCCGATACATGCGTGACGTCATTCAGTGCACTGCTGCTGCAAGAGTAATGAGTGTGTGTTTTAGCAATTAACGATCGAAGATTCGTTCGTTCGCGGGTGTTGTTGATAAGCTGTGATTAATATTCTGTAGCCTGAGGCCCTAAAGCAAATAAAAAGGATAGCAGTTTTGCTAGATTTGACGACATCAAGCGAGAATAAACTATTTTAATAGTAGAAGCCAGGCCAGGCCTTAGCTACTCTTGAAACCTCCTAAGCCTAGCCTAGTAGTATGTTGTACTAGATAAGATAACAACTTCAAATCCCATGTGGTAGCTATTAGCTAAGGGTTCAGCTCTGTAAATTAAAAATCTGGTTTATCAACACATAAATATAAGCTCAATTCAAACCACCTGTAGTACAGGTGTTACATCACCATGGCTGCAATTTAATGTTTCCGGGATATCACCCTGTTTATTTTCTTTTTTCTCATCTAAAATGCTCAACAGATGATTGCTATAAACTTTCATTTTCTTTTTTCAACCATCATAAATCTTCTGGACCAACAAAGTAAAAAATCCTCATGATGTTCTTTTGTATGCTCATATGTAGTCATGATGTGCCTATAATAATGCTCCTGGTGTGATGTCATCATGAGTATATTTAGACATGCCACATGTTTTTGTCAAATTTTCTTTGTCAAATAACTTTTGTATGCCCATATATAGTCGTGATATGCCTATATATGATCATGATGTGATGTCATCATGATAGGCATAAAAATGGACAGGTTATTTTTAGATACTCTTGAAAATTTACCAGTAATTTAATGTTATGTGGATTTTATGTTCACTAAATGTATACTGCCCATGTCAACTTAATAAACTTGATAACAATAAATTTCTTTTTATGGACTACTTCAATTCTATAGTATTAAATTCTGTCCAGACTATCAAATTTCCTTTGACAAACTGTTTTCTTCCCATATATGGTCATGATGTGCCTATATATGGTCATGATGTGATGTCATCATGACCATATTTTGGCAAGTCACATGTTTTTGTCAAATAAAATCTGATAGTCAGAATAGGCCATTAGCTTTAAATTAATAGCCTAATTTAATTTAGATAACAAAATATCATACTCTCCAATTGACTGACATATGAATAAAATCTGTTTTTATTCTTTGCATATGCTAAAACATTTAAATTTGTAGGTAATAAATTTAAAGATATTTGTAGTAAAAAGTCTGTAAGTCATCAGATATTTATTTGCATTTATCTGAGTGTCATTGATTTGATACAGGGGTCTCAAGTTGGAAGAACACTTCCGGGGATCTGGTTAGATTCAATCTTTTTTAAAACATCAAATTTTATTCTTCTGCGCATGGTGACCCATCGTCTTCCGTTGGAACACTGATAATAAAGTAGTAAAAACATTGCGAATATTATGAACTCATGGAAGATTGCTCATTTTCTGGGAGATTTGTGCATGTTTGGCGGAGTGTGGAAGTCTGTCCCGATTTCTGGGAGACTCCAACAACTACGGAATAACCCTTGGGTGATAACATATGTAGAAGTAGCAATTTGATATATTTATTGTGTTTGAATTGAAGGGTTTTCAGATTTTAACAAAGATTACCATTATTCCAAACACTCCGCTTTAGGTAAATGGCTTCTAATAAGCATTTCCTCGAATACATGCCCCCTCCAGAATGTCATTTTGAGTAATATACTTCCTTTAATAAAACATTATATTGTCCAATTGACTGATGTATTATCAATGTCTTTTAAATATGACTTTAAAGCTAGACCCTTAAATTGGCTGGGAATATATTTAAGGATTTTTAGTAAAAAGTCTGTAAATTGTAAGTCAATTGAAAGCAGTGGCGGCTCTAGGATATATCTTCTAAAGGGGCTAAGCTGTCCGACGGTAACTTAGCTCGGGCCCGAGCTTGGAGAAGGGTTTGAAAGGGGATGCCACCTCCCAAATTTTTTTAAGAATAGGAACCTCTGGATGGCCGGATATGGCACTCTCAGACTGTGACAGACATGTGTTTGCTTGGTGTGGGCCTTTTTTTTTATTCTTTTGTGGTCTGACTGCTCGATAAGCTCTGTCCAACAGGGGCTTGACCTGTCCGGTGGGGCTTAAGCCCCCCTGCCCACTGGTGTGCCACTGATCAAAAGCCTAATTATCTGCATTTATTGGAAGTTGAAAACATTTTTTATGCTTACAAACACAGGGGCATTTTATGTAGGGTATTACCATAGTTTCTCTGGTATAAGCCTGCCTTTGATCACAAAATTGGGCCAATTTTGGGGGCTAGGATTATTCCAGGGGAATCCCCTGGTTATCAAATAACAATTTTATGGGACTATTGCCAATTTAAAGCCAATATTTTTTGTTTTTTTCTGTGAATGTAAAAGTCAGCTTTTTTCTGAGGAAAGACCGGTACATGAAATATTAAGGTATAAAGTAGGGGGTGGGCTTACCCAAGGAACTGTGATGTAGGTTTTAATAGTTTAATACTGGATCACAACT